TAATAATAATAATAATAATAATAATAATAATAATAATAATAATAATAATAATAATAATAATAATAATAATAATAATAATAATAATAATAATAATAATAATAATAATAATAATAATAATAATAATAATAATAATAATAATAATAATAATAATAATAATAATAATAATAATAATAATAATAATAATAATAATAATAATAACAATAATAATAATAGTAATAATAATGATAAATAACAAATAATTAGAATAAACCATCTGGATGAAGTGCTAAAATTTGTTTTCGTAATTCTTGCATATCTCGTTGGCTCGTTTCGCTCATTCCTTTGCTTATCAATGCCGAGTGGACCAAAGAAGATAAACCTGCTAGTTGACGTTCCATCGATTCCATGCGGAACCTAAGCAAAGATACAGTCAAGGTGACAATCACCACATGATCAGTTTCGGTGTTGGAAGAAAAACTGACAATTCAGGAACTATTTTTAAAAAAATCTCATATTAAAAATAAACAAAGGAAAATAAATAATTAATTTATTGGTAATATTTGCACTTCTTGAAAATTTCATAGTCCTGCCAAACTTCTTTAGATAGAAAGAGTCCGGAAAATAATTTCATTTTTATGCAATTTCTTTAAATCCATTTATTCTTCCATATCAGTGGTACTTGCAAGCCCTCTCAATTATTTATTCGGTGGAAGGTACCGATCTTTCGCCCCATCTTTAATAAATTTGGTACCAATACTACTCTGCTTGATGAATGGCACCAGTTTTTCCTTTTTCCCGTTTCGAATGGTATCGATCTTCCGCCTTCTCTTCGACTAATTTAATGATACTATCTCTTTGTTAGCATATTTAACTTTTGTATAAGTGCGGTAGCTATCGACAAGAATCGACATGAGAAGGAAAGCATTCGGTATAAATGATTTGCTATATTTAAGAGCATAAACTGGACTTGTGATAAAAGTATCATTCAGTTATTTTTCAATAAAAATTTCAGGTTTTTAAGTTCTATTTGTATATCATCGAGATAATTACTATTGCATTTGAAACGAAATTAATCAGAAAGAAGAGAGGGAATGAGAGACAAAAAAGGTTGAAACTATAATTGCTATTGTTTCAAACTATTTTTATTTCACTTTTATTGATTTATTAAAGCAGAAAGTTTATATATTGAAGATTTTTTTTCCAGAAAATTATTTAATAAATGTATGAAAAATACTGGTCAATAAATTTAACTAAATATAAGCACTTAATTATAAATTTTGATTATTTGATTAAATATTTAACTATATGTTTATCACTTCTATTATCATATACGATTAAATGTGATAAAATATTACGAGTTTTTGATAGAAAACATAACTTGAATTCTGTCTTCTAAAATGATATTATTAAGATTTATAAACAAAAAAAGAAATATTGAGTGACATCATTCTTTCGAGACTTTCCATTTGACAAAACTTTTCCTTCTTAAATTTATGGAAATAACTAAATTTAATAAATTGGTTTCATTTCAGTTTTGATTATTAAAATGTTAAAATTGACTAACCTTGCTTCTTTATCGATTACTGGTGTAACTGATCCAGAACGTTCTTGACTACTTGTATCACTGGCATATGGATCACAGTAAGGATCATAACGTGGTGATATCGGAGATCTCAAGTAAGATAATACTTAGTGGATAAGATTAAACTTTGGTATTAAATTTCGAATAACAGCAACACTTTATTATGATAAGCATTTCGTTTTACATTAAGATTTGGTTTTACCATATCAATCGGTTACGGAATACCTTAAATACGGTATAGAACTTGTGTTAAATACTGTAAAGATGTCAAAAATTTACTATTTTCACAAATATTGCATTAAATTATTTGAAATCCATTTTAAAAAATTACTAAAACAGTAAATTGCTAAATTTCTGTTATGTATGAAATATATTTTAAATTTACAACATTAAAATGTTCATTACTAAATAACAATCTCTAGTCATCTAATTAGGATATAACTGTTTAATTTATTAAATGAATAAATATGTCCATGTGAATATGTACATTTCAATATATACATTTAATGATATTAAAATATCATTAAATTTTAGTAGTCATATTTCTTGCCAATAAATGTAATTTTATCACTCTTATTAGCAAATTATTGCTATTTCAATAAAAATTAGATTCACAAATTACCTGGTTGATTTGATAGTACCCGTAGCAGAAAGCATTCGACTATCCAATGCACTTGCCGGTCGATAACGATGTGTTGGCACACGATTCCGATAATCCATTAGGTCAATTTCTGATTCACTCAAATAATCAAATGATGAGTGATTACTGACAAAACGGTTCGATTGTGTTGTTTGGTATCCATTTAGTTGTTCACGTAATTTTAGTACAGCTTGATCTTTGATATCTCTAAACAAAAATGAAAAAAGTATTAAAGTTTTTAAAAAATTTCAAACTTTTTTCCTCCACAAATGCTTCATTAACTTTTTTTTGGAATTCCTAAATCGTCCATTGTTTTTGCTCATTTGTTATAATCTAAAGGAACATTTTCATATTACGCATAACTTTTTTTTTTTGTTTTGAAACTTTAATCATTTATAAGCAGCGGTATAACTAATAAGTTATCAGATTACACAGATGTATCTATGCTATACGATAGAAATGAATGTTTAGTAATGAAAAAGCTTAAATTATCAGTCTTAAAACAAACTCATTTCCATTTAAATAGAAATAGAAGAAGGTTTAAATTTTTAGAAATTAATCAGTTTCTAATCTAATTTAAGTAAAACAAATTTAAAATTTTTCGAAGAAATTAACCTGCGATTAATTAAATATAGTGAAAAAAAAATTAAAAAAATTAATTAAATATAGTAAGAAAAAAAAGAGGAAAGTGAAAAAGTGGATGACATTTGGTGGTTTTAGTACGACAATATGTGAAGCTGTGTATACATGAATGTTCGCATATATTTATTTTAGTATGACTAAGCAAATTTTATTCAACTTTCTCCTCGAAAATAAAGTTCAAATAACGAGAAAATTTCTAGTAACTGTGAGTTTTGAATAAAGTTTAGTTAATTAATTGTTGGAAAATATTAAAGTCAAAATTTTAAATTATCTAAAATCTTCAAAACATTATATTATCAAACTGATCTTTTTTCACATTCATAATAATACACTATTCAATTGTAAATAAAATAATTTAAAAAGTTTTTGCACCTATTTTTAGAAATTATGCTTTTTATTTTTTCATTTGAACGATTTTTTTTTTTGCTTTTCACTTTTTTATCCTATCTTTTGATTGTAATTATTTAACTTTTGAATGTAATTATTTGGACGTTGATTACTTTAACAATTATTAACGCTTATCAGTATGCTGATGCATATTAGTGTTACGTGAGTTCATATATATCGTAAATTACAATGAAATGAATCAGAAAATGATTGTTCACAATTTGTCAAAAAGAAAAAATCACATACGAGATTTTCAAAATAATTTATAAACTAGCAAATTTCACATTTACTTATTCTATAAATGATGAAATTATAAAATTTACATAAGTTAAATGTGGGTCTTATCAAAATTTTAGGTAGGTAATGAAAAGAAAAAGAGCATAAATAAGAAAATTTTGTCCAAATTTTAGAATTTTCTTAATTTACTCTTTAAAAAAAATTGTTTAAAGAAGTGTGACAAAATGACCAATGAAAAGTTTAAAAGATGTAGATGAACTAAAATTAAATAAAACAAAGATAAACAGTTTTATTAATTGTAATTAGGCAACGATATTTACCTGAGATCATCAAGCTCGTAAAAGAGTTGCCCTTTTGACGGTTCTTGAATATAAATCTTCACATAAGGTAAGCTAAGGTATTGTGATGTTAGCTGTGGGAAGGATCGTAAAAATAGCGCTCGAATGGTGTCAATGCTACGAACGGATGGCGGTAAAAGGGCACGTTTAACTTCATCGTTAAATTCAAGGTATACCACACCTGAAACCAATTTTTCAACAAATTAAAATTCGACATTGAAGTCATTGTTCCAAAGATGACTATGACAGTAAGAGGGATTATTTGCATAATAATTGTTACTAATGCTTGTCTTTCATTACGTTTCACGAGCGCGTTACGACATTTTTTTGTAATCGCATAATATCTAGTCTTATGTCGCAACTCTTTCGCTCGCGATCGTACTTGATCTCTCGAATAATTGCTAGTGTGTTAGTAGATATGACATTCTCTCATGATCAGGTTGTATTTAGTCTGTGACATGATTTTCTTTTCCAATCCTTATATCTCGTCTCCTAACATAACTTTTTCTCATCATCATTTTGTTGTTTGACGTGAGTTTTTCTTCCGATCAATTACGTATATTTGATTGTTGTCATTAAGCAATTGCATAAATGCATTCTATTCAAAATACAGTATAATTTAGTGCTAATAATTAAAATTTTAAAAGTAAACAATCAGCTAAAACATGGAATTTATCATTGAAATAAATCAAAAAATTGAAATGATTAAAGAGAAAAAGCATTGTAAAAGGCTATAAGTTGAAAGTAACGATTTTGTAAAAGTATGTTTAACACTTTAAAAAAGAACTTTTTCATTCCAATGATTCATTTTCAATCACTTTAGAATTGTTTATTTACCTCATCAATTTGTTTATCTTTTTCCTTTTTTCTTCTTCCTCTCTTCTCCATCCTAGCATCCTTTTTTCCGTTTTTTTTTGCTAATTATAAATAACCGGAATGGAAATAAACTATTTCAATTATTATAATCAATTACTATATATTTTACTACATATTTT